ATACGGAGCCAGAGCTCCTCCTTCCCCAGGGGCCCAGAGAGTCTGTCCGCTCCACTGGCACTATGCATGTTGCACACTGAATAAGGCAGAAGTCTTGTGGGAAAAATTTGTGTTTGATCGTGTAATTAAACGTCCTCCCAAATTAAGGTGGCACAGGCAATCTAATTCCTGGCATTTCCTAACATTTCAGTGCTTGGCTTTGCAAACTTGGTGTTCTTTTTTAATATAGGAAATCACATATCAAAAAATCAGTATTTCAAAAAAAGCAAAATGAAAACACAGCAATTCCATTATGTGGAAGTACATTGATCCTCCTCTTAGGACATCCCCCAGCAGGACCTTTAGCTCCAGAGCACCGACATCTACCGCTCGAGCTAAGGGAGTCAGTGATAGCATTTATCTGCTATGCGGACCAGTCACTACCAGGAGACAAGACACTCATTTTGCAAATGGGTTTCCCAAATATTTGTTGTCAGCAGAGAAATGCTGGGACTCAGGAAACCTGCATTCTATCCCAGGTTGTGGAAAGCAGTGCTCTCTAGTGGTTACGGATTACTGGGCTGTTTCTATCCAGACTGTTCCTATTCCACCCTCCTTTTTCCCCTCCTCACTCTACATTTGATACAGGCTGCCAGTTTCCACTGTCCTGTACACCTTGTACAGGTTGCAGGAGTTATACAGAAGGGCAGGCTTCTGGTACTTGATATGGACTGGCTACCAAGCTGCCTTCCCAGAGATACACAGCAGATATGCTCACTATCATTGCACTGCCAGTAATGGCTGTCACAAGGTCAAGGTTGTTACACATAGGGTACCACCTACTGGTTAAATCTATTCAGAGGCAGCAGCGCAGGGTACCAGGGGGAACTGGTCTGCGAGGGGAGCCAGTTTAAAAAGCAGCTCCCCTCATGGACCAGCTTCTTATTGCCCCATGCTACTGCGTCTGATACAAAGGCAGCAGTGCAGGGTGGCAGCAGTCCCTGTCTGGGGGGGCGGGCCTGAGCTCCTGGATCCAGTGCGAGCCAGAACTGAGACAAGCTGCCTGCCCGCCTGGCTCCTAATATACCTTAAATGCAGAGCCACAGTGGGGTAGGTTCCACACCAGGTGGCCAGCCTGCTAAAAATTTACTGGCAAGGGGGAAGAAAGGGATGCGTGTAGTCTATAGCAGTGATTCCCAACCTTTTTCCCATGGAGGAACCCCTAAAATAATTATTCATATCCCGAGGAATCCCTACCTATGAAAATGTTTGCTTGGCCAAAAAATTTACAGTAGCTGCTGGTTGTATGGGATAGCAGAGGGCAGGTGAATCAAGGCATTCCTTCCAATCCTATGAAAATCTGCATTTCTTCATTGGCAGCCTCTAAGGCAGTGATTCCTAAACTTTTTCCCATGGAGGAACCCCTAAAATAATTTTTCATATTCCGAGGAACCCCTACGGATGAAAACGTTTGCTTGGCCAGAAAAAGTTGACAGCAGGGAGCGCAAATCAATTACTGCTAAATTTTTTCAAGAAAATGTATTTGTAAAGAGCTGTTATTATATATATATAATGTCAGCTTACATTGTAAGAAAAAAAATTATTTATTCCACAATTTCTCGCGGAACCCCTGACGATGGTCTGTGGAACCCCAAGGTTCTGCAGAACCCTGGTTGGGAAACACTGATCTACACTATGGGACAAAGTCAAATTAAGATATGAAACTTCAGATATGTTAATTGTGTAGCTGAAGTCGAAGTAGCTTTACTCGGCTTTTGGCACTGTCTATGTTGCAGGAAGTTGAAGGGAGATCACTGTCCCTTCGACTTCCCTTACTCCTCGTGAAAGCAGAGTTACCGGCAGAGAGCACAGTGCCCCTCTCACTTCAAATCAGCTGTTTTAACTATTCTGCTAATTTGAACCCTGGAAGATGGACAGAAGCAGCTTCGATCTTCCTCTGTAGCGTAGGCGTACCCATTGGCTACATCTACACAACTTTCCTCTTCCACAAAATCCTATGCAAATGAAGCAGGGATTAGCATATTGCTGCACTTCATTTGTGTAATTAATTAGGAGCCATTTTTTTGCAAGATGTTTTTGCGCAAAAAGGGACCATCTACACACCTCCTTTTTGTGCAAAAACTCCTTCTTGCGCAAGAGCTGTTCTTCCTGAAAAAATGAGGAAGAACAGCTCTTGCACAAGAGGGTTTTTTTTGAAAAAATGGCCCCTAATTAATCATGCAAATGAAGCACAGCAATATGCTAATCCATGCTTCATTTGCATAAGCTTTTGCGGAAGAGGGAAGCTGTGTAGACGTAGCCATTGAGAACACAAGAGAGAGTCTTCCCTATCTAACACAACAGCCTCCAGCTGGTGGGAAGAACTGCAGATAAAGTCCTGTTCAGCCCCTCAGTCCCTGGGTGGAGCATGCTCAGTACAGATGGAACATGCATATGCCAATGGTGATTTTCAGAGGCACATCACTCAGACAAATCAGGGTGGATTTTCATAAGGCAGCAAAACTCACTTTTCTGGTCCAATGGTGGCTTCCTTGCCACATTTCAAGCAATGTATTTTTTTCTAACCTCACTCTAATAAACAAGAGAGTCTTCCGTAAGAAGATATCTTCCGGAGTAGCTTATTTCAAAATTGAGTGTCCACACTACAGGCAAGCCTCAAAATTAGTCCGAGGCAGGCTCCCCTAATATGGATGTGCTATTTCAATTTAGAGCCCCAGGAGGTACTGGGGAGGAATAACTTAGAATGGCCCTGGTAAGGAGCTATTTTGATATCGCAACAGTGGAGCATCCACACACACCCTCTTGCAAAATACTGGTTTTTTGGAAGAGGCCTTATTCCTCATGGATTGAGGTTTACCAACATCAGAAAAAGCCCTTCGTTATTTCAATTTTCTTTCAAAATAACACAATTGGACACTAGTATTGTTTTTCCAGAATAACAGTCATTATTCTGGAATAATGGTGCAGTGTAGACACACCCTCAGTTCCAGTGTCCTGAATCCCTCTCCCTCCATGGAAATGAGCAGACTGTTCCTATGATACACAAATGAAATAGACACATAGATGATTTAGCCAGTTGGTTTGCACTACAACCAAAGGTGCACACGTAATTCACACAACCCGCTACACATCACCAGAAACATCTGCTTCCTCAAATCAAACAGAAAAATGACTCTGTCAATATGGCAGTTCAGCAGCTGGGAAAGACGCAAAACTTGTTATGCTGCATAAACCCCCCTTTCATTGGACATGAGATCATGGGTTGCTTCTTTGAACCTTGTGTGAGCTACTCAGAGCATCCTCAGGTGGGACTGCCACAGAACAAGTCCCAGTTCATAAACTGTATCTGACTGAATTGCAGCTCCGGTGGGTGACACTTAACTCTGGAAGGCACAGAGTTACTAGCAAAATAAAGAATGAATGGCTCTTTGACATTCTTTCCAGAATCCTGATCTGATGCCTGCAAAGACAGCCTCTGGCTGTCCCAGGGAAGCCCCAGAGAAGGGCATTATTTCCAACTGCACAGACAGGTGGGATACACACATTCTTCCAGTTCCTGTACAGCCCGCTTCCAAATCATTGCCTGATACACCCATGTCAGCAGACCTCCTCCCCATTTCCAAATGTGGGACACAGTGTGGGGAAAAGGTCCACAGCTAAAGGCCAAATCCTGAGGCCCTTGATCCAGCAAACCTTCCACTGGAGCCAGAGGGACCAGGGCACTTGAAAACATTGAGTGAGAATCTTACCAAAAGAGGACAGCCTTCTCTCTAGTATAAAACAGTATTTTCTATGGCCCCAGTTCTCTGAGCAACATTTATAATACCAGGGAGTTTTTTAGGGGATGAATTAGATCTATCGTTTAAAAATGGGCCGCTTTTCCGCAAAATGTTGCCACCTGTCTACACTGGCCGTGAGTACTTGCACAAGAACACTGCCGTTCTAATGTATAAAATCAGTGCTTCTTGCGCAAATACTCTGACGCTCCCGCTCACGGATAAGCCCTCTTGCGCAACTGTTCTTGCGCAAGGGGCCAGTGTAGACAGGCAACATCAATTTCTTGCGCAAGAAAGCCCGATGTTTAAAATGGCCATTGGAGACTTCTTGTGCAAGAGAGCGTCTACACTGGCACGGATGCTCTTGCGCAAAAGCACATCTTTTGTGCAAAGGCACATGCCAGTGTAGACGTTCTCTTACTCAAATATTCTAATGCAAAAACTCTTGTGTTAAAGAGTGTTTGCGCAAAATCTTGCCAATATAGACGTAGCCTCTATGTTTTACAATTATAAAGCTTTAACTTTTTGAAATTGTCTCCTGTTATTAAATAATCCATACCTGACCTAGTCATAACTTCCTGCAACTGTGAAAAATTAAATAAATCCAAATAAAAAATACCTAAAGCCCATCATTTTGCACAACAGTGACAGTTTAAATCAATCAAAATGGAAAAAATACTTAAACACCGATATTTTCCATGGAAATTGTAAACAAATAGAAATCCCCCTTTGCCAAGCCTGCTGAAGAAGAAACTGATGATCTTACAATCAGCCCGCCCTGTAAATACCGGGGGACAGTGATGACAGGGAAAGGTGAGAGTTGGAGAACCCATCGGATGAGTGAATTCGGGAGGAATTTGAAAATTGCAAATGGATACACCTGCTTGCATGCTTGCCTTCACTTTGCAAACTCGATGCATGGCCTGCACCAAGCAGCGGCGCATTTCGGCCAGCAGAGGGCAGCCTGATCAGCTCCTTTGCCAACAGCAGGCTCAAGCCGAGCAAACCCTGCCCAGTGGAGCTAATTTCCTCTCTCTCTCGCCTTCCCTTTTCATCACAATTTTCAGTCTCCAGCCCAGCCCAGCCCTGCCGGGCTGAACTCCTCCACCTGCACTTGAAAGAGGCTTCTGCTGACAAACTTGCCTGAGAGGAGGTGAGCGCCAGGGGGGGTTCTCCTCGGATAGATTCAGGGGCGAGGGGGAGCAGCTTCATCCGATAAGCTCTCTGCGGGCCCCCTCCCCTTGCTGTGGTCCACACCCCCCTTGAGCTATAAGAAGAGCGGGCGCTGGAATTGCTCTGCATTGCATGACAGCACCCTCCATAGAACTCGGCTCTGGGCAAGCCGGAGTCAGTCGTCTGCGTGCTGCTTCACGCCGTGCAGCGACTGCTGGGAGGAGAGGGAGCCAGAGGAAAACCCTACCCTGCTTCTGTAGCTCCTCTTTATTATCTGCCTGCTAAAAATTAAGAGCAAAGGCAGGAGCCAGGGGAGGTAATAGCGTGGGGCCCAGGAGTCCCCTTGGCATGAATTAGAAGGGAATCACACGGAAACATTTTTCCTAGGAAGAAAAGGGGGGAAACCTACTCCTAGGAAGAAAGAAAGAGGTTTGGAAAAGCAGCTTTGCCCCCTTTGTTGAATGAGAAGGACAGAGCAGGACCAGCAGCATGAGCACTAGCAGTAAGTACACCTCCTTCTTCCTTTGCTATGGGAACGGGGCTTATTTTGTATGGGGTCTGGCTGAGTCGAACAGGCAGGAAAATGTCACATCAGGGTGGACGATCCCAGGGGATTGGATTTTTTTCCCACTTCTTGTCATGTAGCAAAAAATGGTTTTCTGAGGTGTTTTTGTTTCTGAAGATGACTAATGTGCTTAAGCCCCACAGACTTTTGGGACTGTAGTTCATAGAATGTATTGTCTACATGCAACATGGTCTGAAAGGTCTGTATAATCACACACACACACAGATGTGCTTGGACCACCGCCTAAGTATTAATAGACATGGGTCTGCTATCACTGAGAGGTGGGCAGGGTTGGCTCAGAATGAAGGAAGATCTAGGAATACTGTCCTTTTCCTTATTCAGGTTAGTGGGTATCTGTATGTGTGTGAGACAGGCACATGCTAGCTATGTATGAATTGCTAAAGGAGCAGAGCTAGCTAATGTACTGCATGAGATCAGTAAAGGCACATACTGCCAATCTGGATAGCTCCCTATTTTGAGACTTGGATTTCAGAGTCTTGAGGGAATAGTTGGTGTTTGCAAGTTGTTATCCATTTCTCTCTCTCTCTCTCTCTCTTTTTTTATTATTATTATTACTGTTATTGTCTAGCTTGTTAGCAGAACTCTGGCTCATTCCCTTAAGAATGCACTCAAGCCAGGCAGCACCAAAAGCAATCAATACAAAATACCATTGGAGGATTTGTCTCCTCTGCTAACCAGCTAGGGCTGGTCTCCCCTCAGATTTGACTTTTTTAGCTCTAAAGGTTATGTGCATGGAGAACTCCCACTGACAGAGCACCAGCTGCCCAATGATTCTTGAGCTCTATCACAGTCCTTTGCCTGCCAGTCCCGAGTGTCTCAATACCAGAGGGTGGAGTAGCTCCAAGGTAGAGTGCGAGGAAAAATTCCTTGGCAAGTTCCAGCTGACAGAACAGGTGATCCCAGATTTATTGGACTGTGTCATGGACAAGTAAACTTTCCAGGTGCTCTCCATGGGAGCCACACCTGAAACATGGGCTGCTTATTGGGTTGGGGGGGGGAAGAGATGTTCACAGAGGAGACAATAGGGATCAAATCCTTCCTCAGCCACTGGGTGGATGCAGACTAACAAAAGGCACCCACCCTCTGTGTCTTGCTAGGTGATAAACTCCAGAGCTGGTGAATAAATGGCCTGGAGGGAGGGGATTGTACTACTTTGCTTGCTGGATTTCAGGGATTAGGCCGATCATCTGAGAACACAAAGGGGCTGGATTCAAGCTGGAGAGACTGGGAAGGGATTTTGCCCAGGAGAGAATGTTGACGAATGCAAAACCATTCCTCCTGGTTATTTGCTTCCAGCTTTTAGCCCCCAGCTCAGGTGCTGACAATCCCTGCTTGTGGAATCTGCATTTCATAAAGATCCAATTGCTCTGCCAAGCGGGCGGGCCAGTCAAAGCCAAAAAGCAGAAATAGCCCCTCCTCGACTGGTGAGAGAAATGTGCTGTAGAAGAGGCAGCATGATGAAATGATTAGAGCACGGAATAGGAGTCAGGAGACCAGTGAGTATTCCTGATTATGCCATTGACCTGCCATATGACCTTGGACATGTCCCCTTGTATGTCTCCATTTCCCATTTGAGGATGACACTGGGATAATGATGCTCTTTGTAAAGTGCTTGGTGATCATTGATTGAAAGGGGCAATATGCTGGTGGTCTTATATGGCTGCTTGTGTGATTCTAATTATTATGGTTAATGCAAGTTTGGAAATGTTAGTTGTTGCTATCCTCACTAAAGAGTTCTGAGCCCCAGAACTGGGCACAAAAGGAACTTGACATGCCTGTCTGTTTAGTGCATCTATTGCCATACTGTGGCTAGGGATGCCAACGAGTAGTCGACTAGATGATTAACCGATAAGCCTAAGGTTATCAGTTAATCTTGTCTACTACTTGCATTTCCCCCCCACTTGCTGCCTCTGTATCAGAGGCAGCAAGCGGGGGGGGAGGGGCGGAGGGGTGGAGCAGGAGCTGGTGCTGGGGGGAGCCGTCTTAAAAGCTGGTTTTCCCCCCCCCCCCAGCACTGGTTCCATGGTGCTGCCTGCCCCCATCTCCCTCACTACTGCAGCAGTAGTGAATTGGAGGAATCGGAGAGGCTGCCATAAGGCAGCCTCTGTCATTAGTGGGCCTGCCCACCATGATTAGAGGCTGTTTCACAGAAGCAGCCCCGTCAACGGCGGGGGGGGAGGGGGGAGGGGATGGTCTGAGCTCCACATGGACAGATGCTGCTCTGCATCCTGTGGAGCAGCCTCTGTCTGTGAAGCTCGGACCCCCCCCCCCATGGACAGGGGCTGCTGCCACACCGCACTGCTGCTTCTGATTCAGAGGCAGCAGCGCAGGGTGGCAGGCAGCCAGCCCCTGAGGGGAGCTGGCTTTTAAACTCCCTTTGTGAATCGGCTTTCCCTGCATGGAATAGCAGAGGGCTCCCCGGGAGTAGGGCGGGTAGTGTACTGGCAGCCATCCCTGGGAACTATCGAATAGTTGAAGATATTTTGTGCAGTCACATGACTATTCAATTATATGATAGGTCACATCCCTAACAGTGGCTGCTGCTGTTTACAGGAGCACGGAGGGGCCTCCCTCAGGATCAGTCCCCTGTTGTGCTGTGCCAGATGCTGCACAAATGTAGGATGAGACAGCTTCTTCTGCCTACAGTTTGTTTCAAACCTCAAAACTAGCTGAGGTTCTGAAACATCAGCGTACACGAGTCCGTTCTCATGATGTGCACGAAGCTGGAAGTGGCAGGCATGCGTGGGAAGACCACCACTCCTGTTCAACTAAATCGATTAGTTTAATAAGTATGAGGGGAAAGCAGAAAAGAAGGAAAATTCCCCTTGGTAAATGCTTCCTGTGTAAGCCCTGGTGGTGGTGAATTCTACATGCCTGGGGAGGGAAGTAATACAGCAAACTCCTGTGGCATAGCCCCGCCACATGGATACTGACCATTGCCTGAGATTCCAATGAATTCAACAATCCTACATGGGGGAGAGAGGAATCTTGCCCTGGTGTTTTCCATCCCTCCTCAGCTTAGTCCTTAAGATGCTATCTCTTGATGGGCCTCACTTCTTCTGGCCAAGGACCTGGAAGGGACTCCCTCAGGAGAAGCTGTCCACAGAGACTCCCAGAGTCCCTGGAGAGACTTGATGAGAGGATAGTCTCTCTCCCAGAGGCTGTGTGTGTGCTTCCTGGCACACAGCAGTGTCTTACATTCTGTTTTTTGCACCAGTATTCTCAACAGTGTACATGCTTTGCTGGCACCCTGCTCTGAGTAGCTGCACCAGTGTGGGGGAAGGGACAGCAATATGGTTATGTAGACGTTCCCTTCCCTCCGCCCACACAAGTGTTGCCACTACCTGTTGGCTTGAAGCAAAGTGCTAGGATTTGCAGAGCAGTGCAATGCACTCCTCACTTGAGGAGTCAGAGCAGGGCCCGAAGTCAAATGGGGCCTGTCTGAGGCAGGGCACTGCACTATTCAATTCACTGTCCTCCTTCAAAACTGTCCTCATAACTCTCCTTTGCCATGAGGCCTACAAAAAGCTTGGCAGTGGTCAAGCTGCTGGTGTGCTAGGCAGGGGCGGCCCATGAGCCTAGTTCCCTAGGTGAACTAGGCAGTTGCCTAGAGCGCATTGGCCCTGGCGCCCATTGATGGCCGTGCAGGCAGGGGCGCCGATTGCGATGCCTACCTGGGGCGCCAGCTTCCGCAGCCAGCCTCAAGCCACTCATGATGCTAGGACCAGTGTCTGCCATGCTGCCCAATATTGTCTCAGTTTCTTTGTATTCTCCTGTCTATGTCTGTCTGTTGCCTCTTACTTACATTGGGCTGTGTTTGTTCTATGTTTGTACAGCACCTAGCGTGGTGGGGTCCTGTTCCTGGCGGGCTCTGGGGTGCTACAGAAAATTCAGATCACTTATGGGGCTGGAACCTCACTGGTGTAAATCAGCACAGCTCTATTGATGTTGGTGAAACTAAAGCAATTGACACCCACTTAGGAAATCCTGGGCCCCTTCCTATAACTCTCCTCCTCCCCCACTTTCATTTCTAAATTGTGCTTTCCAATAACCTTAAGATCGTGCCTGAACCCAACAAGAGGCAGGAAATTCAAATCCGAGGGCAGCTGCACTTGTGCACGGCCATTGGAAAGGTCACTAGTGAGTTCAGCGTGGGATATTCTGTGCCCTGGTCATACATCTGACCTCCGCCACATGGGAGGGTGTCCACCATAAGGGCATGGAATTGTACCCGGGCTTCTCAAAGTGCCAGGCAGTGATTGGGTGGGGATGGAGGAGTTTGGCTTGATTTGAGAGGCGCTGTACACACCTGTCTTCCACCTCATTCCCACCCTCTACGGGGAAACAGCCTGGCATGGAGAAGGTGTCGTGAGATGAAGAACCCAGAGCTCAGTTACAAATGCATGTCCTGACTCGGGAGGGCAGAGGGATGCCGGGGCTTGGGGTCATAAAATGCTGCACTGTGGGGAAGGGGGCTTTGTTCTTTCCTCAGCAGGATGGATTCACAGGACACACAGTGGAAGTTCAGAGGGCCTGACCAAAGACTGCAGTGTTAATGTTTACACTTGTTCAGCTATTTATGCCTCTTACTCGAGCTCCACTAATTGGTTACAAATGGATTCATAGGGATATAAATAGGTACATCAGTGCCCCTGAGCACTTCTATTGAAGCTGGATCGCTTGATGCAAACCGTTGCCAAAAAAAGGCTCACTCTATGCAGCTTCTAAAATCTCTACAGGTTCCTAGGCATAAATGCATCGCAAGTGTACAGACAGACAGAGGTGTGTGTGTCAGTCAGTCAGTCAGGGTATGTCTACACTACCCTCCTAATTCGAACTAGGAGGGTAATGTAGGCATACCGCACTTGCAAATGAAGCCTGGGATTTGAATTTCCTGGGCTTCATTTGCATGAAGC